TCCGTACGTTGCTGTAGGAAAGCCTTCCGGATAATACTGTTCACCGGCGTAAATATGAGTGCAGAAAGGTACAGCTGAAGAGGTGCGAGGTCGGCCACATCGCGGTTCATTGAAACAAATCGATATGCGTCTTTAAGAAAGGCCAACATTTGCTGGCCGCGATGTCCCTGTACCTCCGTTAGCAAGACGCACTGCGCAGTCCAGGCTGATGCGCTTACCTTATCGACCTGAAGTTGAAGTCGCGCGGTATACAAGACCGCACTAGCTGCTTGTCCCAACCAGCTGAGTGCCTCGAACCAATAGAGGAAATATTGCTGCAGAAATTGATGGACGTGATCATTGTCAGACAAAGTTTGTCCACTCGCGATGAAGTGTTCTGCCCAAAAGCTGGAAGTATAAGTCACTCTGGCCGACATCATTTTCGCAATCTCTTCTGAGTCGATGTCAGTACGTCGCGTGCCCGGTCTTCGAAGTCCGCAAACGTCTTTGTGTAGAGCGCCTGGCTCACGCATTCGCTGAACACACTTCTGGGCGAGTCGCGCGTGTTCTTTCGACATTCCGGCTGGGAACATAGTGTCCCTGGCTTGTTCAATGATATAGTCCTTAGCGGATTGGTGTACGAAGGATACCACCTGGTCTTCCTGTGCGTCACCTCGCATCGTAAGAAAGCACCCAGAGCGGCGCACGATGTCGGCTATATCTTCCACGCTGCAGATTATCTCCTCTGCTAGGTCAGCTATAAAGCCGAGCTCGGAGAGCGTGAGTGGTCGGAGTGCGAGTGCGACAGTAGCCAGCACGGCCTTGCAGTACTCGTTGCCCTCCGACTCCTCGATTTGAATCATCATGCGCGCGTAAAGCGCATCCAGTCCGGGCGGGAATTCGTGCAATCTCTGCCGGACGTGCCACCGGGGAATATTATGTAGACTCCTGCAAACCAATGCTACCCACAGAAATGTATCGCCTGCATTGTCTCGAAAATATTGGAGGACTTCATTCTTGAGGGATTCGCTATAGCCTTTCTCTGTAGCGAGCTGATGCACCTTCTGCTCGCTGAACATGCGGACGCCGTTCGCTATCGTTCCTGCGTTCAGCTCTAGCTGTAAATGCAGCATCTGCTGCGCTCTGGACAGTGGCTCTTCGATTGTCGGCCAATCACGGCTAGAGTACAACCATTTCACGCGAGGCGACCGTGCTGAGACCGAAGCAATGAAATGCAGGAGATCGGTTAGCTGCAATGTGCACTCATCTAACGCGTCAATAATGAAGATCGTGCTATTCAATTGTGGATCTTGGAGGATGTCAGAGAAGAGCTTCGTTAGAACGACCCAACTATTCACGTCCTCAAATAATGACCGGCCGGCATGGTGATGTTGCTTCTCAATATGTTGTATCAATAAAGGCTGCTGGTCGACGAGCATGTAAAGAAGGCCGCGCAAGACGGCAACGGCGTTGTTGATTCGCGTGTCTGTTGCTTGGCAGAAGAAGTAGCATAACTGATATTGCTGTCGCTTGGTCCTTTCGAGCTCATCGACAACACTGCAGATGAGCATCGTCTTTCCTTTCCCTGGATCACCTCTGATCCAGAAAGACTGGCAGCCGGCAGTCTCGCGCCAGCGTTGGAACTCTGGATAGTCGAAGATCCAGTCGCACACTCCCGCGAGCAAGCCACCCTTGTCTTGCTCGATGCGGATTTTATCGTCTTTTGGATGTGTGATCCGCAGGTCTCGCATAACACTGTTTTGGACTTCGATGGCCTTTTCTAGAAGGAGTAGAATTTCAACCGTTGTTCTAGCGAGCTCCTACACAATCGTACATTACTAACCTTGACCGTAATAATGGTTGACTACACGCGTGCACAAACTATGATCAGCCTTGTATAGTCCGTGCTAGATTTCGAAGCTACTACGTACTGGATGCACCTTCGTGATACACGCCGGGCTTGATGATCATCCGATTGTTGCTGCCACCCTGCACATGGTTCTCCGATGTCCCTCCCTCGACCGCGAGGATGTTTCCTGTGCCGCTGTGCGAGTACTTCCCGCTGTCCTCCTGCCCTAAGGCTTCTGTCAGCTCTTGAAGTTCGTCGAGCCGGTCGCCGATCGCATAGATTGCTTGCTGCTCTAGGAGCTTCAGATTGTCGAGCACGGTCACGAGCAGCGCTTGCACTCTGCTGTCGCGGCCGAAGAAGACCGTCTTCGTGCCCTTCCAGATGCGCGTCTTGCGATCGTCGCTGTCTTTCGGACACGCTTTCCGGAGGAGGTCGCGCAGCTCGGCGAGGGCGGCCTCGCACTGCTGTAGGAGCGGTTGCACATGGAGATGCTTCTCGTCTCCGACTCTGCCCTCGTCGCACGCCTCGCGCGCGCTCTCCAGGAGGTCCTCCACAGCGGGGAGCCTGTCGAACAGATCGCGCAGCTTCGGCGGCAGGCCCTGCGCGTCGCGCACGGCTCGACCGATGTCGAGGATGGTCTTGGTGATGCCGATGCAGGCGTCGATCAGCCCGACCACCGCGATGCCTTCCACGCCCGACATGATCGC